CTGACATTTTTACATAAATAAACTGATTTCAAAAAGGAAATTTTATATCAGAATCATAAAAAAACAACACTATTGCCATAAAACATACACAGTAATTCATATTAAAATATATTATTAAACATAAATATTAACATTGTGTTAAAGGGCCAACAATTTATTACCAGGGATACCCATCCACGCTTTGGGAAACTGCTAATACTGAACTTTACTTCTTGCTCTCAGGTAGTTTAATAACATAAATCAGAACTTGTTTGCCTAAGTGAGAAGAGAAAAGATTATCTAAACCAATTGGTTTTTATCTGCGTTAGAATCCCTAAGGGCAGGCACTTTGTCTTAATGTCCTGTGAAATGTGTAGAATCATTCTGTGTATAGAGTGCACGCTACCTGGTAGTGTTTGACGGCTGCATTTGTCTTTAACACGAGCAGAATATTAGATTAGCGAAGATTTGTTTCTTGAGCAAAATTCCTATTTAACAGCGTCTAAGCATCCTGCTTAATACTTTTATGTCTGTATTGGTGGTTCTGAAAAATGGGTGGCTTCCATTTAGACGGAGTGATTAATTTGGAGGAGCAGGCTGGAAAGAGTAGTTGCTTTGATCTCTAAAGATAGTTTGTGTCCTTCAAGCAAGTAGGGGAAAACCAGCTTTGTCTTAATTTATCATGTTGTTAAACGTGTGTCAGCACACCAATGACTAAATTCCATTACTGCTAGCTATTCAGAGTGAGCTTCCTTCAATCACGGCCTCGGGTTGTTTATCTGAGGCTAGCTACTGGAGCTGGTTGCTGCTGCTGCTCAATTCACTGGGCTGGTTTCCATCACAAGGCCTTTTCACTGGCCAGGCCCTCTGCCTAGGAAGCCCTTCCCCACGTGCCTTGGTCTCTCGCCTTTTATAAGTGCTTACCACATTTTCCTGATAGACTGTACATAAGTGAAAACCCTGACTCTCTCCCCCCATCTGTCCTTTCTGAGTTATTTTATATTTTAATAATGCTTATTTGGATCTAAAAATATAAATTTTAATTAATTACTTGTTTCTTTCTCCTCCTACAATATAAACTGTACAAAGAAAAAAAAATTTCTGTTGTTTATTTGTGAAGCCCTGGTGTTTAACACAGAAAAGATGTTCAATAAATGTTTATTGAATGAATGAGTGAAAACTATAGGTGTTCCTGTTATTGTCTTCATTTTGGAGGTGGGTATCTATCCTGAGAGGAGATAGAACAGCCAGGGCTGGAACCAGGGGGCCGACTCCAGAGCCTTCGCAGTAAGATGTAGGGAGAATGTGTGCTACTGTACTTCTCTCAGACCTTCAGTGCAGGGCTAGATTTGACCTGACTGATGAAAATAAAAATGTAGGAATGTTTTTGTATTAAGGATAAGTGATTCTTAAGTTATATTATGGGAAATACAAAACAAAAAACTCCACTATACTCCGCTTTTTAAAAACGGAACAGTTACTATTATCTCTAAATTTTAAAAAAAAATGTGTTTTCCAATTAAGAAAATTATAAAGAACTCTAATTAGAATGGTGTTAAAAAAAGTAATATAATTGAAATATTGTGTATTTCGCATTCACTTATCAGGTTATTATGAGTCTTAAATGAGAAAAGGCATGCAAATATAGTTTCTAATTTTAACTTGAAGATTTAGTACTCAATATCATATATAAATTTCTGTCCATCATTTAGAGAAGGCTGGCTAGAATTGTAATTAGAAGAAAAATTAATGATTTTACAAATGTGTTTTAAGACACATATATGCACATAATCAAAGCTTAATACTCTAAGAATCCATGCTTCTGCTGATTTCTCCAATTATTTGTTTTATGTGTTATTTCTTCCTTTAGATATTGGCAAATATATACCATATATATATATATATATATATATATATATATATATGGTATTTATTGGTATTTATACTAGAGCTAACACTTGTAATGGATAGATTTAAGAACTCTGAGCCAGATAACATCATTTCCCCTTGCTTAGTTGACTGAGGAATTATGAATCTTCTCTAATTACTATACCATTTGCCACAGATCCTGAAATAACAACAAAGAATTGCCTAAGAGGATAAAAGAAAGAAAACAATCAAATAAGGATTTCCTTCTAAATCCTGGGTCTTCAAAGCTTCCAATAGGGGCATAACCTCACATGAGAATCAAGTAGGAAAATTATTGACTCCCACAAGCCTTAAATGCCTGACATTTAAACCATCAAAACTAAAAAAATACTTTAAAGTATCTCAGAGGTGGAAGTAATTAATTTGGCTGGGAAATTTGAGAATCCTCTAAGAATTCTTCTCTATTATCATTTTAGTAACATAACAAAATAAGGACTTATATACATAAAATGACACCATAATCAATGTAACCTCGTCCCACAAAAGGAATAAATATTAGAGTAGACCTGTTAAGAAAAGATCAGACTTAATCTGGACTTAAAAGTATTTGCACAAAGCTACCATGCTTTGTAATCTATTTCTCCTGGCATTTATGAAAACACAAAACAATAAATTGTCTCTCTCAAAAAAAGCCTCATGCCAATAAGCAAATGCACAGAAATGACAATATCTATAGCAATCTGACAGGTAAAAATGACAGAGAAAAACAACAGAAATAATTTAATGTGAGTTTTTTAATGATAAAACACAGTCTCCAGATACTGCATAATTATGTGTTTTTCCAAATTTTATTATTATTTGCAGTTTCATTTATTTTTGCTCACACTTTTCTAACAACAAGAAAAATATAAAACATCTACTATCAATGTCCTTTTGTGTGCTTAAAAAAATTATTTTGTTTCTCACTCCCTACTCTAAAAATTTTATTGTAATTTACTTAATGAAATTAAAAATTTTAGATTTAGATCTAAAACCATAGGGGTTTTATTATTTCACTGTACCTTACTATTTTTTTGTTTTATTTGGTGTGTGTGTGTGTGTGTGTGTGTGTGTGTGTGTGTGTGTGTGTATGTGTGTAATGTGATAGCCTTACTCCCCCCAACCCTCCAAAAAATAATACCTTGGCTTGGAAGAAGATTTTTGTTATTTAAGCTTAATTAGAATTTAACTACAGTGAGGGTGTAAGGGAGAAAATAAGGCCTCCAGTAAGATGGTTGTTGCCATAATTCATGAGGAAGATGTTAGTAGGGAATGAGTTCAGATACAAACAAATCCTGCAAATATTTTAAAGACAGATCCAATGAGATTTGCTGATGGGTTACACTGGGAACTAAGGTCAAGAGATGAAGTCTGAGAAAATAGGAGAATGTAGTGAATACTCTTTACTGAGATAATGAAGACTGAAATCAGCTAGTTGTTTTCTTGATGAGGAGAGGAGAGGAAGAGGGGTTTTGGGAGTTTTTTAACATTTTTAAATTGGGGATGCTTATAATTTAACTAATTGGCAATGGAAGTGAGCAATTGGATATGTTTGTAATTCAGAGGAGAGGTGGGTTTAGAGATATGAGGATCTTCAGTGTATAAGTAAAGTTATACAATTGGATAAAGGGACTGGGGAAAGTCCAAGGAGAAAACAGCAAAGAAAAACAAGAAGTGGCCAATAAGGTAGAATTACAAGCAGATGAGTCTGTCGTTATGGAAGCCTTGTGAAGGAAGTGTTCATGGAGAAGGCACTTTTATGAGGCACAGATTAAATAATCCAGCAAAGCTTCTCCCATTGAACCTGGCACCTTGTAAATATTATTTGTTCTTATTCAGTTGTTCAGGACTCATGTGTTAGTAGTCCGGGAGAGACTTCTGGCCACCCATTCATTGTGGTAGGTTATAAAGTTGTTTTATGATCAGGGCTATGTAATAATGCACATCAAAGCTATCTGATCTTCCAGTGGAAACTGCACCTGCTGTTCTGGACATGGAAGTTGCACCCTGTAAATAAAATTCTTCTAGCCATTTCTCAGATACATCCTCTCTCCCTGGCTCATACTTGGGTAGATTCCTCTTACATCCTTTTTATATCATCTACTAGAGGCCCAATGCATAAAATCCATGCAAAGGATTCTGCCCTCGCAGCCCCACCCTCACAGCCCCTGCTGCCTTGGCCAGTTCTGGCAACCCTGGTTTCATCTGGAAGGTCATCTGGACAGTTGTTCTGCTGTTCGGTCTAATTAGCATATTAGCTCTTTATTATATATAATATTCATATTTTTTACTCATCTCTTCCATAATGGGCTTAAGGACTCATTGGAAAAGGAAATTGTTGAGTGCTTTAGATTTTAGGTCACATTCCCTTCTCCAGTGCCACAATGTAGTGTGTGTGTCTTTATTTTAGGTAAGAGAAACCCAGAACTCAAAGTGAGAAGCTATAGGTTTTAATCTTCTCTGACTTGAGTGAGTGACAGGAAGGGAGGGGGAGGCAGGATAATATTTATTGGAAACTTAGAATGTGGCAGATGCCAGCCTATGTGACTTGGCATAGATTGTTTTATTTAAACCTCCTAATATCTATTAACTTTTATATTATTATGCATTTCACTTTGTCAGCGAAGAAATTGAGAAATGATCACACAGTAAGTGGAGCCCGGCCTTAAATTTAAGCTGTCTAGCTCTATTATGCTTTCCTGAGTTGATATATTTTGAGTAGAAAAAAGAAGAAAAGTGTGTTAAATAATCTCTCTACATGTAAACATTTATGTGGAGTTTAATACATTGGTATAAATTATAGACTCAGGCAAAATTAAATACATAAACCTTAGGAAAATCACTGCTGAGTTTTTTCACCTGGTAAGATTATATATGAGTTTAGAATTTATTTTTCTTATTCACTATTATGACTTTCAGAGGAGATAAAATGACAGAAATTCTGGGATCATATATGAAATTTTTTATTTTATATCTTGCCATTAGCTAATTTTTAATCTTTATGCTATTAGTCATGGGCATTCTCTGGTGTTAGTTTCAAGTTTTTATTTACTCTGTACTGATTAGGAGCCTTATCAATTAGTTGTTAATTGAATTATGATTTCTCTCTGAAGGCAACTGATCGAGAGGGAGACCCAATAACATATGCCATTGAGAAGGGAGATCCTCAGCGAGTTTTCAATCTTTCAGAAACGTAAGTTGAAAATGATTTCTGATTTTTTTTTCTTTTTTAAATGTTAAACAAAGTACTGGTAGTAAGAGAGTGGACTTCTAATTAAAGGCTTTCGGCAGTTTGTAGTTTACTTTAGATGTTTTCTCTGAATATTAATCTGGGGATGGGGTGGCTATTCTGGATCCAGAAATTTTATCCAGAGATTATTTATTTTAAACATTTTCACTAGGTAAAATCCACTGAGGTGAGAACATTTTATTTGCAGAAATAACCTGGCATCAGTTAGGTCCCTTTAACATTGTCAGCTGCTCATAATAACAAGGGCATTTCTATAAAGAGCAAATTGTTCATTCAAAGGGAATTTTGTAAAACAAAGTACTTTCAAATCAAACAAATTTAAGGTACCAGCAAAGTCCATCATTCAACTTGTGAATAATGTAGACATACTCTAAAAATGTTAAAGCAAAAATATTGGATGTCTATGGTAAGTCCTTTGGGGGTCTATTTTACTAGTGTCATTCTACTCACCTCTTTGAACATATCAAAGATAAAGTTAACCACAACCACTGAGAAAACTGGTAGCAGGCATTAAGAAAGGATTGAGGTTTGTGGAGAGATCATTAGCTTTCTTCTGAAATAGCAAAGAAGCTGTTCTGTTGTCACATGTGGCTGGTTGGTCAAGAGCTGTGCTTGCTGCCTGTCTGGTGCTTTCTGTGAAGTCCTGAGTTTTTCACTTCCTGAAAAAACTGGAAACCTAAACTCCCATGATTATAAAAGGACATTTTGATAAATGAGCCACACATTGCTTCAGTCTCAGTAACATTGGTACATGATGTCAAACCAAGGAAATCATATGTGGTCACCTAGTCTTGTGAGGAATACTTGCAATTTCACATTGAGTAGGATGGTATAACCATGTAGAAACTGGATTTTCCAGACTTCAGATCTTACAAATGAAAAAACTTCCACATAAAAATGGAAAGACATAACTGTTTTGAATTTTGCCCTATCAGTACATACAAATCATAAATGAGCTATAATCTAAAATCGTCATTAAGTAAAGAAAAAAAAAGCCGATAGAGGCACTTGATTTAACAGTAATCAAGCCTATGTGGTACTGATTTAAGAATAGATGTATAAATTATTAAGGATAAAGCTTAAGGGCCCTGAAATAACTCCTAACATTTATGGCCAATTGATTTCCAGAAACAAAGGGCCCCGGCAATCCAATCAGGAAAGAATGATCTTTTCAACTAATGAAGCTGGCACAGCATGCAAAAGAATTAAGTTGAATCTGTATCTCAGACTATTCACAAAAATTAACCCAAAGTGGATAGACCTAAATATAAGAGATAACATTGTATAACACTTAGAAGAAAATACAAAAATAAATCTATATGGTTTGGACTAGGCAATTCTTTCTTAGCTATGCCACAAAAGCATAAGTACTTAATGAGAAGACTGATAAGTAGGATTTCATCAAAATTTGAAAAGAAAAAAAGAGTGCTTCAAAGTATACTATCAAGAAAGTGAAAATAGCCCACAGACTGAGAGAAATTATTTTCAAATAATGTCTATGATAGGGACATATATTAAGAATATATTAAAAACTATTAAAACTCAATAATAAACAGAATTAATCCAAATAAAAACAGACAAGAACTTGAATAAACACTTCTCCAAAGAATATATATTAATGACCAATAAACAAATGAAATTTGCTTCTAATCACTAGTCATTAGGGAAATGTAAATTAAAATAATGAGATACCACTTCACACCCATTTAGAATGGCTATAATGAAAAGGAAAGGAAAGAAGAGTAAGGGTGAGGATGTGGAGTTGTCAGAATCTTCATATGTTTCTGGAGGAATGTAAAATGTGCACTCTGGAAAACAACTTGTCAGGTCTCTAAAGGGTAAGCAGAGTTACCATATAACCCAGCAATTTCACTCATATCGACTCAAGAGAAATAAAGACATGCACTCACACAAAAAGTTGCACAAACAATGTTCATAACAGAATTAGAATCGTTTACAATAGCAAAATATGCACTGTCCACAGATGGATGGATTCACAAAATGTATATCCGCACCGTGTAATATTATTTGTTAATAAAGGAGAATGAAGCCCTGAAACATGCTGCAGCATGGATGAAACTTAAGAACATCATGCTAAGTGAAAGAAGTCATTCACAGGACCACATGTGATATGATCTCATTAGTGTGAAATGTCCAGAAGAGGCAAATCTATAGAGACAGAAAGTAGACAAGTATTACTGAAGGTGGGGGGGGAGGAAGAGGGGAGTCACTGCTAAGGGATACAGTGATGAAGATGTTCTAAAATCGATTGTGGTGATGGCTTAGCAACTCTGCAAATATACTAAAACTTATTGAACCATATGCTCTAACTGGGTGAATTCTATGATATGTGAATTTTGCATTAATAAAACTATTTAAAAGAGAGATAACCGTGAATATTTCATCTGCCCTGGTAATTAGGAAGCCCAGGTCTGTCTTTCTTACACTCTCTCTTTTAAAAATTTATATTCCTGGGTTTTTCCTCTGATCCTGAAGGATTTTACAGCTACTGGTTGTGAACGCTGATGAGCCATCCATTTTACAAAAGAAATTCTCCACTTGTTCTGGTACCTTAGCAACCATTTCTCTGCTACTTCTCATCTCCGCTTTTGAAACCAGACACCTAGGTGGGGTCACAGAAGTTCTTTAAGCTGAGAAAGATGTCAATACAGCATCCTCTTTGACTAAACTCACCACAATTTAATACTACAGCTCTTAGGTCAATTCAAACAGTCATCTCCTTAAATACAAACTGATTCTAGGACAGTGTTAGGATATAGAAAATCCCCCCTTTCCCTTCTTAGTTAGTTCTTCTGGCTGGTCTAAGAACTAAATTGCCCTGAGACAAATTAAAAGGAGTATATTACCAAATTTAAATTTAATTATGGAAGTACAGATAGAGATTCCATAAGAATATAGGGCCTGATGACCAATTAGGCAGTTGAGGTTTATATGCCATCTTAAGCAATGGGGAAGAGGGTGGGGATAGTTGCTTAGGACTTCAAGTGGTGGAAGGTAATTCGCATGGAAATGGGAAAACAAATGTTTAGTAAATAAATATTAGCTATAACCTAATAATAGGCACAAGGAGAATTTTGAGCAAATGGACCTTACTAGGTTCCTGTGTCTCTCCCACACTAATTCATATTAAACTATAGTTATCTGTGATGGTATCCCCTTTCCTGGAGCAAATCCTCTATCTAAATTCTTTTAGGAAGTTAGAGGGAACATCAAAGTTTCTTCCTAAGTCATGTGTTTCTAAAAAATATAACCAGCTTAAAATAATCAATACCAACAAGGCATATTCTGGGGCAACAAACTTTGCTCTCCTTCAACAGTGAGTATAGGGCAGAACCCTGTGATGATTGCATACCTTTTTTTTTTTTGCCTTTGTTCATGTTTTTGATCTTATATTTAGACATCTGTTGTCAAATCCAGAATCATTAAGATTCTCCCCTACATTTTTGTCTGAGTGTTTTATGGTTTGAGTACTTATATTTAGATTACTGTTTCATTTTTATTTAATTTTCACATATAGTGTAAAATAGTGCAATTTTATAGTTTCACAATTTCCCATCGCCTCAGCACCATTTTCCCTATTGAATGATCTTGGCATCTTTGTTGAAAACCAATTGATCACAGATGTACGGGTTTATTTCTGGACAATTTTTGTTCCATTCCCCAGGATACATGAGCAGTTTTGAATGCCCTAATTTCCCAGAAACTCTTTGCCCAGTCCCATCCCCTTGGCTTTCAAGAGCTCTTTCTATGACTCAGCTGTACCTTTTTCCTCAGGTGGTATCAGGTTATACTTTCCTTATATAATGTTTTTCAAAAATACCCATGCTTTTCTGCCTTGAAGGAGTTCTGAGTTAGAGAAAACAAAGAAAGCCTGTATTACATCTTAGGATAGCTTCTAGATTAGTTGGATAGACAAACACAATTCTTTAGGAACAAGGATAACTCTGCTCCCTCCAGAAAGAGTGGGAATGGTGACTGCCATCCTCAAGTCTTCTCCAGGACAGGGCATGGAGACAAGGACAAGTGTAAATGTCACAAAGCTTGCCCACCATTTTTAAGTTGCCTTTTTCTTGACTCTGCCTCTATTTGGTTGCTGCCAATCTTTTCTGTTCTCCAGAATTCTATCAAAGTTGGTTCTGACCCTTTCTCCTTCATTTTTTCAATGTTTTTGTGGAGAGATCATCTAAGACTTAGAGCTTCCTGCTGAACCATTTTTACTGACATCCCTCTTTTGCAATACATTTTCAATCCTGTAAAATTTCAAGTAGCACTATTATTGATGTTTCAATCAGAAGTGATCCTTACATATATTTAATATGTATACATACAAGATTTACTGAATCTATAAATGTAGCCCAATGTATGCTGTTCTATAACTTCAATCCAACTGCTAGAAAGACTCCATAGACCATGCTGGTTGCCACTGTGGTCCCTCCTGTGTCAAAGAGGCCCCTTGTCCCAATTATGCCCCAATTAATTAATTATCTGCCTAGATTTAGTGGGACATACTCAGGTGACTAGAGGTCACCAATAATGGCCTGGTACTTCAATGTCTAGACAGTTGAGCCAAACCAGAGCAAATGAACACACAAGACAGAATTAGTATGCAGTCATACAGGGTTTATTTACCCATTCCTAGTGGGTCCTAGGCAATGCACACCGAAGGAAGGACGATGAAAACAGAGACAAGCAGGTGGCTACAGTTGGTTCAGGCTCACAAGCAGAGCAATCAGTGGCTTATCTCTCTGAGCAACATGAATTCCTCCTCTTACCGGTCCGGAGACATGGACTGAAGAAGGTCCCGTGCTTATATAGCCAGTAGTAAACAACTTGTGTCTTATCATTGTGGGCCAGAGATGTACCGTATGCTTGGAGCAGGGCATTTACACTTTAAGGGCTTAGGGCAGTGGTCGGCAAACTGTGTCTCACGAGCCATGGTTTGCCACTCTGTTGACTAATGAGTTTGCCAACCACAGGCTTAGGGTGTTCACATCAAGATAGTGGGGTGTTCACCATGTTTATAACATTTTGGAAGTTACAGAATATTTGGGTCTCCATACAGCAAACATTCCGCACAGTAATCATTTCACATATTATAGGGGTTTCCTTATGACCATAACATTATAATATCCCATGACATTCCAGAATGGGAATCAAGCCAATTTCAGAGCAAACTGGATGCAGCTTCATACAACATTCCTACCAGTCATTTGATGACAACAAAGGCTTGACACATCATGCCTTACATGGGAAGGATAGCAGTTCCAGGGGTACAGTCATTGTGGAGAAGATGCCTAGCCTTCCCTTCCAGAAAATCAAGCAGAACATCATGGTGCAGGACCATCAGCCCATGCCAGATAGCTGCATCATTAGCATGGTCATCGACCAGCTTGTGGCTGGTGAAGACCATCATGTGTTCCACCAGATGTTCCTATTAAAGAACATCTATAATGCTTGGGTTTGCACTAAACTTGTTCAGGCTTTCTCTGCACAATTTTGTTGATCACCCCTCAGCCAGGCACTCATGCTCTTTCCTTTTCCCCATACTATTCACACTCCTCCAGATACTCCAGACATCACACGAAAGAGCAGAACCATGGAGGGAATGGCCACAGTGTGCTGTGTGCATGATGTTTGGATGCTAGACTATTTACATCCGACATGAGAAATGTGTGTTGTTCCAGCACATGCTTTAGAAAGACTTGAGTAATGTAAAACGTTGTCTATTTTTTTTAACCCACTAACCAAAATTTTTTAACCAAATCTTAACAAGTTGCTCTAATAATCCAAAGTAGTAAAGGAGAAAGCAGCTGCCTCACTGTCCAGATAATGATTTGTTCAGAGTCTTAACACCTCATGATACAATAGAACCACGAAAATTCTCTTAATAGTTTTTTTTTTAAATAAAGACTCTTCCCTACCAGTTGTTTATGGAATTCATAAAATATTACAATGCTTTTGTAAATTCTTAAATACTCTTTAAGCAAAGAATACCAAAAAAAAAAAAACTAGCTATTCTTTCTTTCCTTTTTTCTCTCCAAAATAGTTTGCCCACTGCCTACTACAATGGGACACAGACACATGTTATCTTAAGCAGAGGACTATCTCCATGATATTCACAGACCCACAGAAAATTTGCTCTTTATGTATAACATGGCTCTAAATGGAAATTTTATATAAATATCTAGTGGTTTTTCTAACTCATTGTATAAGAAAGAATATAGAGTCTTGATCTTTAAACTGAGGGGGGGGCAACAATATCTCAGTTTTCTTTATTTTATTATACTGTGGCTAGGTTTTCAGATTTCCTATTTCTTAAGTTACTTGCAAATAAGTCTCAGAAGTAATAAATGTCGTACTTTTCTCTGAATGTCATTTTAGAATGAGATTATCTGAACCATGTGTGGTGTGGAAAGTTGATCCAAACCTGAGTGTTATGAACTACTCTAGTAATTGGGTTACAATTATTTTGATAAAAGCATTTTAAAAATGTACAAGAGGTAGAGGCAGTGTTTTCATAACCATACCATATGTTCATAGCATTTATTAAGTCTATATCAACAACAAGAGTAACAGACTCTGATTTTGATTCATTGGTGTTGACTTTCTATACCCCAGGACCATATGTGGTGTTAATTGCTTAAATTCCACTATCACAGTAAAAGGAGCTGTGTTAAAATTATGTCATTTGGTTTGGTAATTTTTCATTCTTGCTAAGAAATTCAACAGCCTTAAAAGACTTATGATGTTCCCCATGAAGCTTAGCATCATACATCTTATATACTTAAGATGAGTTTGATGAAGGAGAAAAGCATAGCAAAAGTAGTTCAGGATAGCAGGAAGACTCCCCTGGGGTAAAATGCCTTTCTGCCTTATTTGTTTGTTTGTTTTCTCTCTCACTAGTACTGGGATTCTAACCTTAGGGAAAGCACTGGACAGGGAAAGCACGGATCGCTACATTCTCATCGTCACTGCACATGATGGCAGGCCAGATGGGGTGAGTACTCTCCCTGGGAAAGGGTTTTAAAAATAGTATTAAAGAAACTGAGAGAACTTTGTAGTTTTACATTCAAAAAAAATGTATCACTCTCGTGAATTCATGAATAAGTCTCTCTTTTTTTAATCTGGAGCAACTATTAAAATTATTCAAACTGCTCTTTTCTCCAGTAGGTTTCTTTATAATAAATGAACCTATACTCTTATAAACACTTTTGACCTGACAGAATAGATACTTGTGTTTGACATTTTTACTCAATTTATGGGGAACATGAAATCTAACTTAGTCTAGAAAGTATTCAGTTGGTGTCCATCAGCAACAGCCCAGCATTCTGGGAATTTTACTATATTGGAACCTCTTTCCTTTAATGTCACTTTGGGGGGTGGAGAAGTGTTAAAAGGGAATTTGTGGATACATGCCTTGAAGCACTTAGGAAAACAAATTGATTCCATGGTGGATTTGTAAGCTGCACTCAGAATCTGTACTAATCCTTGATGATTGAAGTGGTTTAAAGGGATCCTATAACCTAGAGATGATAAATTTTATTTTCTCTGTGCTCTAAAATTAGTTTTAAGAGTAAATAGCTTAGTCATTTTGAATTGTTTTAAGACAATTCAACTGTATTCTCTAAACAGTGCCAGGCACAACCACCGCTATTCTGATTTTTAAGCATGATAACATTTCAGTTTTGGGCACCAAATCACTAGACTATTTTTTCAGCATTTCTATGCCACAGTTTTTTATCTTTGGGGATTGTTTTTGGGGGTGGGGGAAGGTGGTTTTGTGTGTGTGTGTGTGTGTATATATATTTATTATTTCAGAGAGGAAGGGAGAGGCAGAGAAAGATAGATGAGAGACAATCATTGATGAGAGACATCAATGATGAGAGACAATCACTGATTGACTACCTCCTGCATGCCTCACACTGGGGATTGAGCTCACAACCCAGACATGTGCCCTGACAAGGAATCGAACTGTGACCTGGTTCATAGGTCGATGCTCAACTCCTGAGCCACACCAGCCAGCTGTGCGTGTTTGTTTTTATCAAGTGTGTCTAGACCCACTCAGCACTGTCCTCTGTCCTCTGGAAATAATTTCAAATTCAGTATAGGTATATAGGCAAGAATTATCCAATTAAAATAGTAACACATCTACCATTTTCTTGAAATGATTTATTTGATCAATATGATAAATTGTTTGGGACCATATAATGATCTTCTCACACTTACTTGAGGGCTGATTGCTGAGAAAATTTCACTATGATAAAAACATATCAAATTTATACCTGGAATGTGTTATCACCTTAGTTAAAAATCAGAAAAATAGAGATAATTAATTAAATTTGGTAATTATAACTAGATAAATAGCTAATATGGAACATAAAATTTACAAACACACTATGTTAATCAAGGGTATTGCATAAATATAAGTACTTCTTAGACTTCATTTTTCTTCACCTCTAATATTTAAGTATCTTCTATTGACCCCACTATTTACTAAAACTGTTCTGTAAATTTTATGTTCCATATTTGCTGTTTATCTAATGAGAAACTTGAGAAGAAAATAATTGAAGGACTTGATTTGTGATGAAAGTTTAATGGGTAACTTGGCTAGGAAATAAATGAGGGAACAATTCTAAAGAGGAGCAGGAATTATTTATTCAGCATAGAATAAGGGATATAATTAGAGTGAAGTAAAATTAATGAGGAGCATACAGATCAGCCATTAGGATAGAAAAAAAGATTGTAATACAAGCTTTGAGATATTAGCTGGGGCCTTTTAAGCCTGATCTTAAAAGTAAATTTTATTTGACAAAAGAACAGCTTAGATATATTAGAATATCAGGCATAGTCTCAATGTGCTGATTTTGGTTTTGTCCACATTAAAAACTAAAAATAAGTTCAGGGTTAAAATTAGTAGTTTGGTTCCTTCTAGAACATCCTCCTCCTTCCCGACCCAGTAATTTGTGTATTTCAATTCCTTTTGGCTAAGTTACTTAGCATTTCCAGTTCCTAATTTTTATATTCTTATAATCATTATCTCATTCACTTTTAAAATTTTGATTCTTTTTATCAGGTTTATTATTTTCAAAAGTTTATAGTGAGATAGTATCAGTAGAGAAAGAAATATTTGATTTTAAACAAAAAGTTCGGTAAATTTTATTCATATAATTTTATGCATGGACTTACTTGTGGACACAGAGAGTAGATTCCTAAAAAAAAAAAAAAAGTGATTACAGAATGATAATATTCTCATATTGTCATAACATTTTTTCTTATTTAAACATTTAGACATATCCTTTGAAAAATTATAGTGAAATTAACCCATTAACCTTAAAAATCCTGGATCTCAAGAAAGATGTGTAATGAGCATAGACACCGTAAGGATGGACTTTTCTTAAATCAAAATGATTACCAGCACTATGTATGAAACAAATTGTGAAGATATAATTTGAAAATTTTATCATGAGAAACCCCATCCCTTACCACCCCCAATAGAGTTTAGGAAAGAAGAGAACTAATATTCAGTTGGTCATTGCTAATTTTTTGTAGACAACATTGAAGAAATTTTATATGACATTCTTACACTTTTTTCCCTTTTCCCTAAATTTAGTTTGTCAATAATAGTTTTAAAAATCTATTCATATAAATTAAATATCTCATGTAATACATACCTGTTAATATTTAGATTTCTTTAGTTTTATGATTACAAAAAATAAAATTTTATAGATTTTAATATTTACATTTATTTGAAATTACTTGCAAATTTATGAAGTTGAAAATTTCTTAACAAAGCCACTACTATTCTTTACTCCAATATTTTCACATTTTAGCTGAAACAGACTTTGATTGAATTTTATGTGTTATAAGCAAATTTTTTAAGCAGTTATATTTTACCAAATTTATTTGTAATAATATATAGGATAGCTCCCAAATGCATTTTGAGGGAATATACATTTCACTTCCTTTTTTTTGAGTGTGGCTCTTCCACAAAATACCATGGCCTAGGCAAGTCTATTTTGAAAAAGTGACATTATAAGAAGTTTAAGTTTAAAATTGTGGCTCTCAAAAGAAATCTCAGTCATTGTACTGTTGATATTTGGCTCTGTTGACTAATGAGTTTGCCAACCACTGCACTAGGAAGAGGAAAAAAAAAAATCTCTACCCTTTGAAGGTCTCTGGCTGTGTCTGAAAATTAAACTGACAGAGATTAACAGGAGAAAGCATACACATGTACTTACTATGTTATATATGATGTGGTGGCCCCCATAAGGAAATGAAGACCTAAAAAATGGTGAAACTTATCTGCTTTTATAAAAGAAGCACTTGTGCAAAAGTGACTAACTTATGTATGGAGGCTAAAGGATGATTAAGATTATCCTAGCATGGTCTGCTAATGTAGAATTCTCTTGGTCTCAACTTCTCATTCTTGGTAAGAATGTTTGTTTCTGATACGGGGAGGGCATCTTTCACATAGGCGTTTCATATCCTACTTTTAAGGGGGGGAAATGGTCACAATGTTTCTTCTGTATTTGCTGCTTTCCAAGTGCCTTCAATTCAAAATAGTCAATATGACCAAGTGGCATATTTTGGGGTGATACACTCTGGCAACCTCTGGCAGCATTAGCATTTAGGAATGTGGCCATAAAATCCAAACCACAGTAGCTTAAGCAAAACAGGTTTATGTGGCTCAAATAAAAAGAAAGCTACACATGGACAGGAATGGGGTTGTACAAGGCCTCAATACCATCAGGAATGCCTGCTCCCTATTTCCTGCTCTGCCATTTATCGTGTTTACTTTATTATTCATTCTTATTACCTAACTAGTGGCCCAGTGCACAAAATTCATGCACGGGAGTGGGCTCTCCCTCAGCCTGGCCTGCACCCTTTCCAATCTTGGATCCCTCGGGTGATATCCTTGTGGGATCCAGCCTAAACAGGCAATCATGTATCTCTCTCACAATCTGGGACCACGGGCTCCTAACCATTCACCTGCCTGCCTGCCTAGTTGACATATAGTGTGATTTTATAATGCACTAGTTTTTTGTTTGTTTGTTTGTTTGTTTGTTTTTATTTTCTGGAGAGGGGAAAAAAAATTTACCGAAATGTTACATTTCAGAAAAAAAGGGGTGCGTGTACAAACAAAAGCTTGCCACCCATACAATCTGATCAAGAGAAGGGTAAAACCACTTTCTCAAAGTTAGCCTTTAGTAAATACTTGACATTTTCAAGATGCTTTCCCTTTAATTTCATCATTTGCATTTTCTGTTTTGAGCCTCCTCCTCCTTTTTTTTTTTTTTAACTGAGAAATAGGAATAGGAATGAGATGCTTTTCAGAGAGACAGATGCCACAATTAACAAGTAACTGACAATAAAATAAAAATAACTCCCTCTCACATTTAATCTCTTTCTTTTCTTTTTAAGACCTCAACTGCCACAGTAAATATTGTGGTGTCAGATGTCAATGACAATGACCCCATGTTTGATCCCTATCTACCTAGAAATCTAACTGTGGTGGAAGAAGAAGCCAATGCCTTTGTGGGACAAGTAAGGGTAAGTGGAATACGCCTTAGGTGATGGGGCACCAGAATTATGTGAAAGCCGTCCGTGAGAGTACTTGGGTGAAATGCAAGGTGGTGATGAAGTGCATGCCTTCTCAATCACTGTGCCATATATCTTTCAAGATTTTAAAAAAAAATCATATTTCCATTTGAATTTAACTTTTAAGATTTAGTTAATTTATATGTTATAGCCATAGTATAATTTAACAGTGATTCATTTAAGAGTATTCTTTTTAATTTAATTTATTTTAGTTTCTGTAATTAGACTAAAGTATTTTACAATAAATATGTATCTGGCTATATTATAAAGTATAAATTTGGAAATACACATCTCAGAATACAAATACTTAGGTGTAAATTATTTTGGTGTCTGAAGATGTCTTTAGCTACTAATCTCTTGACCTTAAGTATGAATAGACAACTGTTGTCCAGCATACTCAACACTCACTTATAGGCATGTTCTCCTAATTTCTAACTGGACATACTAGCCAATTTCTGTAGTTGTTTTTGTGAAAAATCCAGTTTAAAAAAAATCAGAGACAGTATTTCTCAGTTAGGCTATGATTGGTTTTGAACATAGTTCATGGTTTAGAAGCCACCAGTGAGGGCCAGTTTTGAGGAAGTATACATATTTTGAGGCACCGAGCTCAGCGGAGGCATTTATATGGTCTCCAGGCAAGGAAGATAACCTCTTCTGGAAGGAGCAAATCACTCAGGCATCCTGAGTCTATGTTTCAGGATTTCACCTCTTTCCAGGAAAGGCCTTGGGTTTTGAATAAGAGGTTTGCTGGTGCTTGGAAGTAAGACTTCTTTACGATTTAGCTACCCTTACCATTAGGCAAAGGGTCTGGTGTTCATTCCAATATTCTCTCTGGCTGCAAAAAAAAAAAAAAAAAAAAAAGGATTTCTATAAATGCTGTATTAGAGAACTTCTGACTTTCATCCCATGTCCTGATATTTTGAAAGGTTAGGCTGAGCCTCTCCGTTTTTCTCTCAAAGCATATGGATGATATAAAAGCTACCACCTCCACAGTCAGTACTGCTCTCATCTTCACTGTCTCTCTCAAATCTGGAGACACTGCACCGGGCGCACATCTCCTTATGCCTTTATGCTATCCCACTTCTCGACAGGAAAGAGTCTTAGTACCTGAGCTGTTCCATCATGCCAGCAGGTCTTGATGCCATGGGAACAGCAAGCCACTTAATTCCAGAACGCTATGCAATACCTCTGGTGTCACACATTTTACTGTGGATTCTACAAGAAGAAACCTAGATGCAAAGAGTGTGGTCTAAATAAATGAGAAATTCGGGTTAAGACTAATAGGGAAGTAAAGAAGCCATGGCAGCCAGTGAAGGATTACTATTAACCATCTATCATAGGAAGGCTGGAGATTAATTTCAACGGCAATGGGAAATGGCATTAAACACCTTTTCCAGAAGTATTGATCTCAAGAAGTGATAGATCTTGCAAATCCTTACACTAGATCCTGAGAGTTTTTGGTCACCTGTGCTGGGGAAGAGGGTATATTTTCAGCATCCCCTGCTTAACCCCTTGTTAACGAGAAGTCAGTTCTCTGTGATTCTGATATAAAGGCATCAGTCAGACCACAGATGCTAGCAGATGGAAGTTAACTAGTGTTAACTTGAGGGACATGCATGGGGCCCTGACAGCTTCTTTACACCAAGCAAACAAGGTGATGAGAGGGGCATGCGCAGAAGACACATAGGAGGGAAGCAAGAGTGAAGTGCACCTGTGAAAGATGAATCCTGGTGAAAAGAATTTGGGAGGGATTGGAAACTGTCTAGAGAAAGGTAATTGTATTAATAAAAGCGTAGACAAATGAGAGTATGTGACATGTCCTAATTACAGCCAATAAGATGTGCCACATCCAAGCATTTCTGTCCACCCTGTTGTAGAAGGTGATGGGGACCCCTGGCAATTCTGAGGTGTGACAGCATGAGATTTTAATTATGAAAACACTAGAGGCCAGTGCATGAAATTAGTGCACAGGTAGGGTCCCTAGGCCTGGTCAGCGATGAGCGCTGATCTGTGAGGCACCAGCTGGGTGATCAGGGAGCCCCCGTGGGCACCAGCCTTGGCCGGCCTGGCGCCGCCTTCTTGCCGGCCTGCTAATGGTCATCTCCCTGTGCAGAGAGACTGGCAGGGTGATCATCCATCTCTTCTCTCCCTTCCTCCCCCACCCACTCCACCCAGCTGGCACCCACCTTGACTGGCCTGAGGTCTGTTAGCTGAGGACAGCTCATGCATTGAGTGTCTGCCCCCTCGTGGTCATAGCAACCAGTCATTTCACTGGTCATTCTGCCATTCAGTCAATGTTCATATTGGGCTTTTATTATATAGGATTGCTTCTAAGTAGATTATAAAGGAAGCTTCCAAATCCAAAAAGCTAAATTAGAAGGCATTTATAATGTCCAAGATATATGAGGTTTGAATTAATATAATTGTCTAATTATGATAGTTAAATTATATTATAATTGTCACTTTAGGCTTCCATTAATGAAAACTAGAAAATTTATTTAGTTATGTCTACCAACTATTCAGAAAAATAAACAGGTATTGAAATCATTTAGGAAAACTATCTTTCCAATCTTAATTTACTAAGTATTGGAGAGATAAGCCTTATAGAATATACAACTAATAACACATAAGTAGAAATTAACATAATGATTGATTTTTAGTTTATTTTAACTTATCTTTTCCTAGTGATTATTTGTCTTTGAAAGAATTTTTTTATATTCTTGTTTTTAAACTTGATGGGAAATGATCTGTATATTTCAATATTGAAAATTGAAATATAGCCCTCAGCACTCATAATTTGATAAAGTAATAATTGTCCTGGTCTTAGGCAATACATTTTCTTTAAAAAAATAAAATAAGTTTGAAAGTACAAAGGAAGAAAAACCATCCAGAGCAGGTGCATGCAACAGATTTCACATAGTTCTGGTCTAGAAATGTTGTAATGTTCATAAAACTTTCATGCATCATAATGGTTTCCTGTTGCTGCCTATTGATAATTATATAAAATATTAATTTCAGTAAAAGACTACTTATAAAATTTAATTTGGTCATCAAAATTATTAGGACATATTTAAAACCAAGATATGTATGGTTAGTTAATTTACTGAATTTAAGTCATCAACTTCAGAGTTTTGTTCAAACAATGTTTTGGTATGTATAATCCAATATTTGGATTAAAATGTAAAATGAACATTTTATTAAGGTAGTTGTGTGGTATCAAAGTATATTAAATAGGAAGAACTTGTGAGGCAGTATTTATAGATTATACAGAGCAAAATATTTTATTGAGCATAGTAAAAAAGTAAACTACCGGGCACTAATTTTTTAACATAGAACTTACTGTACACAAGTATAGAATACCACACTTAGATTTGAGGACTATCTCCATATTTTCAATGCACTTGAGATAACAGTATTGTTGGGAGAAAAAATGTATTCAGAAAAAAAACTTATCAAACGCAGTAAAAATAGTATTTTTTTCTATATCAAGTGGCAAATATGTCACATTAATTATTTACTAAAAGGAAGGAGAAACAGCACAAAGGACTAAGGTGGCTATGTCAGGGTTGACAGAAAAATCTGTGATTTCCAGAACCTTGACAAATGAGTGAGATTATAGATTGAAAAAAATAGATACCAGGCAGATGTGATACAAGACAGAATTGAGCTGAAGAGGCCATTTGAGAACCAGTCGATAATCTGACAGTAATGGAATTTATGTTTACAGGAGTTCTGCAAACTTGATTTAAAAACGGTGAGTTTAGATGGGAAAGTAGGAAGTTCTGATGAAATAGCCATTGATATAAAGACTTTACTTGTCAGTGTAATGCTTTCTTTGGAACCCTTTACAGTATTTCACAGGAAACTATAAAGGGTCTATATGCATGTTCTGACTCTAAACAGCATGCCAATAGTTCATCATTAAAGTGAGTTTCAGATATTAGCCTCATACCAACTCCTAGAAAAGTCTAGGTTGATCCCAAGTCGCTGGTTGTGCAGAAAATGAGAGAGGAGAGGATATTTTTAAGTGTGTGTATTTGTATTGATTTACTTCTTATAATTAAACTAGAGACCCAGTGCACAAAATTTGTGCACTCAGGGGGTTCCCTCAGCCAGGCCTGCATCCTCTTACAGTCCTGGAGCCCTTGGGGTTGTCTGACTGCAGTGATCCTGGCTTCTGGCTGAGTGATGCTCCCCTTGTGGAAGCTCACTGATCACCAGAGGACAACACCTGCATTGAGCAGGATTGGGCCAAAACCAGTTCTCTTTGGCTCTCCAACATCCCTTGAGGAGTCCTGGATTGCAAGAGGGCACAGGCCAGGCCAAAGAACCTCACAGGTGCAAAATCCAGGCCAGGGAGTGACGTGGGAGGTTGGCCAGCCAGGGAGGGACTGGGGTAGGGCTCCAGGGCATGTCTGGCCCATCTCGCTCAGTCCAAATTGGCCCCACCTCAGCAGCAAGCTAACATACCAGAGTGCCCTCTGCTGGTAAGTGCATGTCATAGCAAGTGGTTGAGCAGCTTTAGCATATCATTAACAAATTATGCTTTGATTAGTTGAACAGACGACTAGACCCTTAGCATATTAGGTGTTTATTATATAGGATAAGATAAATAGTTGAAAATTCAGCTGGGTCTATTGTTGGGATTATGTATGTCATTTTAAACACGTTTAGTAAATTGCTTGAATGTGTTTCCCAGATTCTATTTATTCCTAATACTGAAGGACCTGCTGGGAATAAATCATTCTATTGTGTAACAGCCAGGCAGATGATTTTGAATCCTGGTTGTTCAGAAGTGGGGAATCATGATGCTTAGTTCAATAGAATGTGTCATTTCTCTGTATTTCTCAACTAATGTCTGATAGATTTAATCTTGAGTCTGAGTTGGGGAATATGGAGAAGTTAAAGCAACATCTGTCTCAGCAAATTGGTGAGAGATGCTGGGTCCCAAA